GACTCCATCCACCCAGCTCGTTTTATCTGAAGATTCTCAGACAATGCCTTGAGGATCCCGTTCCCTAATCTTCCTAAAAATCCCCTTTCATCCCCACTGTTAAAGAATGTATGAAAGCCTGACACCGAGCTGGAGAAAATGGCAGTGAAGGGGGGTAGGAGCGCCGCACATCTGGGACCCAGGGTGGTATCACTGCATCCGTTTGGGAGGGGGCTGGGTTGGACATAGAAGCCCAGTGCGGTCCCTGAAAGTTGTCAAATGAAATTGTTTTGCTGCTCAAACATTTAAATGGCAGAGGAGATTAGGCAGCGAGCGGGAAGCGGAGTGTATCTGACTGGGAGTTGGGGGGGTTAGGGTTAATCTGTGTTCTGACCCAGTTGAACTTTCAAGTCACACATATGCATTTTCACACAAAACAAAAAAAGGCCTAAATCCTTTATTTTGGCCCCTCAAAGGCAAGAAAAAGGCAATAGGTTTAAAAGGAGTGATCCCTAGATTTCTTTTCTTCACTATAGGAAAGAATGGCACATTTGCTCCTATGAGAATTCGGGATGATCACAAACACATTACAATAGGCTATAATTTATCCATTCCTTCGGAACCTCAGCAACAAGAAAACTTTGATCACATCCATTAGCCTCAACAGGATTTTGAATTGCATGCTGCTAAGTAAAAAAAAAAAATCCTTGTCTCTTTTGTCTTGCGTAGTACTTCATGTTCAAACCGTTGTGTTAGGTTTACCAGACATCCTTCTGACTTTCAAAATGACAGCTAACTCTTGCTAATACCTAAAATATCCCTCACTGGGATTATTGTTGTATCTCTGACGCAGTTCTTTGTTACAAAGCATTAACAGGTTATTGTCAAGTGAAAAGACTAGGTGAATTAATAGAGCACCTGAAAACAAAGCGGGTAGCAGATTATAGCCTCCCTCTCCGTCTCCATCTTTGAGTCTGTGAACTGGGAGGGTATTATGGTCCTGACACTTTTTCTGTGAAAGATTAAACTGGTTATCCCATTAAAGTTGGTAAAATGCCATTCTTGTGTCTTTAAGCTCTCATATAGGAGGTCAAGATGAGCCTGCCTTACGCGTACAAGGCGGCTATGGATGTAATCTGTCCAAAGTTACAATAATTAATGTTAAGCTTCTTCAACAATGTGTTTGTGAAAGAAGTCGTCCTGATAATATACTTAAATCTCTGCTCGCTGTTTGTGCAGCGGCGACAACACAGATGAGTCTGGCTATGCGTGCGCGTGCATATGTGAGAGAGTCCCAGTGCCACTCATGTTGTAGCTCGGCTTAAATCTTTAGTCAAACTATAATCTGACGTGGCCACAATGCTGGATTAGAACAATATGGGAAAAGAGAAAAATGACAACTGCTCACTTGATGGGAAGGAAAACACATTTTAATACATCACACTAATACCCGCACAGTTGTTTAAAGCAAATGATACCAATTACAAATGAGTAAATATATGTGGTCCAATAGTGTCAAATAAAAAAAAAAAAGTAGTTTTCCATAGTATATATCATTATATATACAATGTCTCCCATAATTCTACACACACAGCATTAAGGTATTGATCATAAATGTATGTTGTCCTCAATTAACAGTTTTTTTTAAACCTGCATATACTTGCATATTAAATTAATGCTGCAGTGATTTACAAAGTTAAAATGTGATTAAGCACTGTTTTTGTAGTCGAGCCTCACAGCGCAATGCATATATTATTGCACCTGAAGGATTTGAAAAACTTCAGCTGAATTGATTGAAACACATACTAAACATTTCCAACCGGAAACACCTGGATTCTAGAATGGATAAGATACTTTGGGCCACTTGTGAAAAACTAGAGATAATTTAATTTAGTGTCCAGGGGCAGATAATTGGCTGCCGTAGTAGATTGCCGCCACATGTGAATGAGGAGGAATAAATAAAATATGTTTGAAAGGCAACATTGAGCGGCAATAACACATTTCCGTTTACAGCCTACTAAATGTACTTGTACGGACGGTAAATATCAGCCACAATCTGTAACTATTTGCGCCTGTCAGAAGTAGATTCTCCTAATGTAGCACATGTGAAGGACAGTGCTCCCAGTGGTGCAAGAATAACAAGTTCATTAGTGCAGGGGGGTATGCCGCAGGAATTCAAATCCCTCCCTGACTCAGCCGCAGTCTGTGATTGGCTGGCGGTGTCGGCATGGCGAGACTCATTAGAGCCCAGCAGTAATTAAGAGTTGTTAGAAAGTGAATTCTCCAACCGCAGATTAGAAAATTAAACTATTTACTGATTACATATTAATAGAAGACAACAATGGCGCTTGCCATAAGCTTGGAAGGCAACCAAGGAATAAATCTGTGTACTTAATTACCATAAACAATGGGAGCATAGAAATGGAGTTTTATGCACTCTCCCTCCTGTAATGTGTCTGATATCAGAAGACACTTGACAATTCTTGTTCAATTATCTCTATTATTTAATGTGCTGTGAACTGCCTCTGAGAAAATAAATTAACCACCCCAATTACTTTGAATTCATCTGGGGAGGGACAGAGCATAATAGAAAATGCATAGTGCTCAAACTTGGAGAAGGAAAAATATCCATAAAGCATTATGAAAATATAAAAAAAAACGTGATAAAAATCAACTAGTAGCAAAAATACTAACCATACTCCTGACTCTGGTGACGAACAGAGACATGTTTTACAGGTAAAAGTAAATATTAGGGGACACAACTTGTCCGGGGGAACACAGTGGCTCTTCTCAGGTTGTGTCAAAGGTGAGAGAAATGAGCTTTACATATGGGTCAGTCGGCCTCTCGCCCCTGCTGCTTTCTGCCCTGTCCGGGCATCACTGCACTCTGGCCTCACCCTAACCTCCCTACAAGTAGCTTACAAAGCTCTCTGACTTATAGGGGTGGGCACGAACTCGGCGGTGTTGAGACCATCGCACAAAAACACAAGGAAGAAATGACACAGTAGTGAAACTTGAAATCCTAAAGTCTAATGAATCTTTTGACAGGATGACAAGACCGCAACCACATGGAGCACAAAGTGAACCATCAAGAACCGTTTTAGGGGCTTTATTTGTATTTGGCTGTATAAACATGAATCATGAATAACAGGAAACATTTGTACATCACAATGCATCAAGGTACAATGTAATGAACTACTACTGCCAAATCCCTAGCAACCACAGTAAAGGACGAAATTCTGCTTCTTTATTCCACAAAAGTATTTACACAAAGGTGTTATTGCAATGTGACCAGTGTTTTGTTCCCTCATGTCCCTCTGCAGTGCTGGAGCTAGTCAGAGGTACCAGATCAATAGCAGATGTTTTGCTTACAGCCAATGGGCTGCAGCTTCAATCAGCTGGTCATGCTTGAGAGAAAAATATCTATCATCTATGACAGTGTAGGAAAGGTGACCTCGGCTGCTCGGGTGATAAAGGTTACTTTAGTGACCACCTGTCATTGGCACATCTCGCTCTGACGCCTCCAGACTCCAGCCCAAAGGTACAATCCATAAGCTATTGGATGAGTGCAGAATGAGATATGAAATGCAGCTACTGTGCATGCGGCAAAAAGTTGAAAACATGTGACTGAGTCACATTTCAGGGTTTGATGAATGGTTAATACTATCATCAAAACTTTAGGACCCATGGTATTGTATATATTTTACATATTTAGATAGGATGTTTTTTGTGTTATTATTTAGGTTCTTCTTCTGTATTGAACATAGTAAACTGTTAAAATAACAAATCATTGTGGCAGGTGTATGAAAGTATATAACCTGCGTCTCTGTGGCCAGTGGTTGCTTTATCAGTGGGTGATGCTGAAAAATGGAAAAACATCCCCTCAGAAAGACACAATGGCATGTGCTCCAACAGGGAGAGAGGGCACAGATGCACAGAGGAACGAGAAAACGAGGAACTCCAGCATTACAATCACAGCAGAGATAGTCACAATATCAGCACCCAAATGGGATGGGGCAGGTGAGCTGAAATCAAAACCATTCGCTTTCCTTTTCAATAAGTCTATACTTTTTTCCTATCCTGTCCTGTGTTGCCTATTTTGGGCTTAGGAGCCAAAATCCTCAAAGTTACAGGCTGATATATCAGAAAGAGCATGTGAGCTGCAGCTAAATATTACAAAAGCAAACAGAGGATTCTCTGCAAACTAAATCTCCACACTTTCACACCTGTTTTTCACTCGTGTGCATGGATCTGGTGTGTGAAATGGCGTGGTATTCTCCCATTTCAGTACAGGACTTAACAGCGCCATGGCCCTCTTTTTTGGCTGGGCACACTGTCTCATGTCTTAACAAGGATTTACCCCAAACCAAATCTTTTAAAAATTCCAACATTCCAAATTCATATCCACTGCCAAAGCATATGCACTTTGTACGCAGTGCAGAGCAAGCATTTGTGTATTTAACATGAATTTGTGAACTGTGTCAACGCTTATGTTGTGTTGCCTTTTTTATATTTAGTTCCTCTGCCTTTAACTCACCCCGTCCTTCCTTATACAGCATATCAATGAAGGCCAGATATGTACTAGGGAAAGGCGCATGTGTCTGTGTGTATCCGTGCATGGCTCAGCGCACTGTTCAATACTGTGCAGGCTGGCTGGGGCTGTGCTGGCAAACGGCAGCAGAGAAGACTTGGGCTGGGGCACCGCTATCGCACCCAGTTATCGTTTCCCCCATGAAGGGCTCCCTTATCACCCCGGCCCAGAGAGGTCTCCCTTCTCTACCCAGCCCCACTGCCCCCACCCTCTCCCTCCCTGCTCCACCTCCTTCACACCCCCATTCCCTCCTTTCATATCCACCCAGCGCTCTGTCGCGCAACATTCAACTGAGATGGGGGGGCCTTCAAAGATTCTCACAAACGCACACACAGAAATGCACACGGACCCTCCCAGTGCAGTTGTCTATGTGCGTGCGTATGCTCAATTTGCCAAAACAGTTTTTCCAGTGTAATTGGGCTTGGGGTACCTGTGTCCATGAGATAGCGCAGCCTCTTCTCCACGCGCGCTGCTCGGGCGTCTATGTGCCTCTGCTCGCTCTCCAGCGCCGACAGTTCCCCAACCACATACTGACTGGTGTCTTTGAACGCTTTCTGTCAACCAGAGAGAGCGAGGCAGATGGAGACCGTCAGGGGAACAGGAAAAGTAGCCCGATACAACATTAAACACAGGCAAAGAAAAAAGGGTGAATGGATAAAGGATAAAGAGAAATTTTGCAAACAGAGGATGAAAAAGAATGGATGCGAGTCAGAAAGATATCTGAGACAGAAGAGACAAAATAGTCTAATGTAGAAAGGACCTGAATCTTAATTAACATACAGAGTGGTAGTAATCTGAAGGAGAATGATCTGGGGCCTATGAAACAAACTGTTGCTTCTGAAGGTAAGAAATGTTTGAAGATGGGCTGGCTGCCTTTTTGGAAAAGAAATTAACAAAATATCTATGAAGGACAAAGGACCGCAGGTATTTATATTCTTTCTTGGGAGCAATTTTTCCTTTTAAATTAAAATGTGCATCCATTGCTGTATAATTCTGCTTTTGAAGTTGCATCCCCACAAACATTGAAACAAACCACCTGATCACTTCAGTCTATTCTTCAGATACAATTTTCAACTAGAAGATCTCTTTTGTATTTACTAGTGAGGATCATAATATATTTTTTCTGCTGAGGTGTTTTTTTATCTTAATGGGAATGTGAAGTAGTGGGCTGAAGAGAAACTTTTTTTTTTTTTTTTTTACATATTCCACCCAGGCCAGCACTTTTGGCAGCCCTCTTTAGTTGTGTTCATCAGAGAGCTCAGTGCACATGTGTTCTAGCCTGTGTGTGTGGTTACTGATTCCCAGCAGCCTGCCCCTCCTTCTGCCTCACACGCTCTCGCTCTATCACCATATTTTTCCTTGGCAAATCAATTTTACACATGATCAGCCCACTCCCCTTGCCGCACTCGGCCCAGCCGTAATTAAGAGGAGGGAAATTACCATATATATTATATTAATGCAAACATCATTCAGCAGGTAATTCTTGGCTGATCGGGATAATGAAAAGGTTGAACACCCATTAACCCTGGGGCCCAGGCAGAGGAAGAGGAGGAGGGCCTGTGTATTTGTGTGTGTGCTGGGACGAAGGTGAAAGTGCAGTGAGATTCACCCTTTGGACTTTGATGGCACAGACTCAATGTAATAATAGCATTCTTCTAGACACACTCTTAGCAAGTTTAAATATGAGCCAGGATAAGAGCTTGTGTGTAATCAGGGCCAATACTACGCACACACTCTAAATTGCAGCGCAGCTCATATCTACCATTTCCATAATTAAAATGACAGTAGGCAAGATCAATACAAAGATGTCTCTGTTGAGAAATGGGGTTTGGTAAGTGAATGGGAATTTTGTAGCAGAAGGACAAGGTGAAGAGTATGAGGTAAGTGTTAGATAGAGCATGCAAAGAAAAAAGATGTATCTATAAGATGACCATAAAAAGCTAAGCAAAAAGGAATTAAACAGGTCAAAAGGAACCATTACTGGACTCTAATCTGACATTGTCCAGAAAATGTCAACTTCAGGTCATTTGTAGATAAGTTATGTTAAACATCTTTTCAAGTCACAAAAAAGGTTTTGAAGCTCAACATGGTACACGTACTATCAATGTATGAAGTGGTATAGCTAGGATTTTGTTTTAAGAACCAGATTTCAGGATTAATGCTCTGGACACGGAACACTTGAGTCCTTTCTCTTGGGCAGCGGATAAAGTCCATTCGGGCCAGAACCATTCACTTTAAGAACTGTTTTTCAAATTTTGCTGCTTCTAAACATTTTACTCACTTTAAATGACTCACTTCAGCAACACTTTCTTCACAATGCTGATATTACAAATTATTATTCATCATCTTAGCTTGATAAAAATAAAAACTTATTTTTCTGATTCAGAGGATGTCAGAAGAGTGACAAGCAAGTTTCTTCACACAAAGAACAAACCTCCTCCTCAAATGGTCGGAAAATATCAGAGTCTGGTGAACCCCTCTCATCGGCTGTTCGCTTCATATCCTCAGGAATGGATTTCTGCCTCTTTACTTCTGTGAAAAGAGCAGTGAAAAGAAGCATTTACAAGGTTTTCACGGACGTAGGTGTGATCTTTATGAACCGACCCTATTTGCAGTAGCTTTGGATAGTTGAGTCCAAATACAAGGCTGCCACAAACGTCAGAGCAGCACTGCAAATGTCTTACCAAAGATTCATAAATCAAAACTGCATCAATTCATTATATACTATCCATCCATCCATCCATTTTCTTCCCCTTAATCCATTTCTGGGGCGGTTTAGTTATTAAATAATAAACTTTCTAAAATAGATTTAGACAACTAACACAAGCTGATTTGCTTTTCCTTATTCATGACAAAACAGACAATTCAAGTGCATCAACCCTAATGATGAATTTCAACAGATTTTTTTTTCAATAAGATATTTTTTTCCAATAATCGTGAATTAATCCAATAATGGACCGTTTATTTACAGACTCCAACACATGAATGCACTGACAGACATCACATTTTCATCAGAAGTAGTTGCTGTATTTACGCTCATAACCATTTAAAAACAGACAAGGCTTTAGTTTTGACAACGGGGTGGTCAAAACTAAAGCCCTACATTTTAAATTAAAGACTACCTAACCATCCCAGATATGTCACTGAAAAATGGAACATCATTGATGCATCAGCCAAATTTACACCAGGGGTACTCAAACTTTATAAAACCAAAATCTACTTTTACAGCAACTGTGAGCTGAGATCTACTTAGGTTTTGATGTAATCATTCAGAATAACATGATTTTGTATTTATTTAGATACACGCATAAGAAGGTCCGTAATTTACATTTGCAAAACATGTTTGTTATGACGTGAATCACAGGGGAGAAAGTGGGAACAAAGCAAACTATACGCAGCTGTACAGGGCGCTCTGCATGAAGCGGGTAGCTACTTCATAGTGCCCCTGACATTAGGCTTTAGTACTGCATTATTTTTATGTTTCCACAAACCAAACCAATGACAGAAGCCTCCATACATCAAAGCTATACTTAAGATTCAGTGATGCTCTGAGTGTTAGTTAGTGACAATGACATTTTTTTAATTGTATTGTGATTGTTCATTTGCACATCAAAGAAGTTGTAAATAGTACAAAAATAAGAGATTTTTTAAAGCAGAATTATCTGGCAGTTAACTTGACAACTACTAAGTATTCACTAATAGTATTTTACTCAAATCGATTTGAAAGATGGAATCTATACAGCAGTGATAAGGTACGATGTGTTTAGGACTTACCTGGTTTGCTCTCCACATACTGACTGAAGGACTTCAGCTGTGTTTTTCTGACAGCAGATTCTTTATTGAACATAACTGGACTTCGTAATCTCTCTGTTGCCCTCCGCAGACGCTCTGCACGAAGCTCATCTGCTTTGTTCTGTCACAATAAAAGAGACACATTTTGTTTATATTTTTTCTCAATGATGCTTCGCGAATGGAGATTAAACAAAGCAATGACGCAGTGGAATTATTAATTTTAATCCCAAAGGATTTATCAAACTGAAAGGTAGAAAGGTTTAAAGTTGAAATCATCATTTGAGGTAATACATTATATTAACGGAATAATGTATTAGTAAAATATCATAATAATAACAATTATATACAACACAGTTACAAAACATCCAAGAACAATAATAGGTAATTTCTTATTATATTAGTATATATATTCTAAAGCATTCAACATTCTTTGTAAATTCATTTAAAGACATTAAAAAAAAGAGTTATTATTAAATGAGTAATGAGTCATCTTGAAAATCATTTTCAGTCTAGAAATTATCTTTCACACAATTAAGCCTAAACAAAGTCATGAGCATTGATTCAGCACTTTAAAGACAATACATTACATATACATTTTATACTATTTGATATAGACATGTGATGATTTTATCTACTTGTCAGGGGGTAAAATACAGTACTCTGGAGCTCCGGTGGATATTAGACGATGTGTGTGCACTAACACACTGCAGTCTGACTCTGACTCATGAGAGACAAAAGGAGGCAATTAACTTGACTTTCAACAAAACCTCGAACCATAAAATATATTCAAATTATGCAAAATGCAAAAAAGCACTATTGTTTTCAAAGTGAACATGTGTAAAAGGCTACACGCTTGCTTCTCTCGCTATCACAAAATGGGATGCGGAAATGCTATTTAACTTATTACCGTGGCCTGCGAATAAACCAAGCCGAGTGGAAAAGAAACCCGGTTTGGGCTGAGATTGACATAGCGGTTACTTTAATAAGACTCGAAACGTGTAATAAAGTCAACAATTAGGGCAAACATGTTCCACTACTTGAGATTGTGAGGCAAGACTCTAGAGTTAGAATGCCTAATTGAGACAGTGTGCAGTAAACAAAAGGGAGCTGTTAGTTTAGTTTTAGATTATTGCCTTTCAATAACAATGTGGGCAATTACTCTGCTGTCACTTTGCTTTGTCTGTCAGCCGCCCACTACTTTAAATCCAGTCAAATTTATGAACTGAAATGGCCAATTAGTAATTTCCGGCAATATAAGGCTGGAGTGAACCCGACAATGTAAGAGCCAACACTAGGGCCATCCCCAGGAGCACCACAAAAACTGCTAATTGCAGAATGAAAGGGAGGAGTCAAGTGGCTGCTTCTGCTGTTAATAAAAACGGTAAGTGGAGCATAAAGTTTGATTGCAATAAAAAGCCCCAAGTGACGAAACTTAATCGTGAAATTGTTTGTATATAAGGATGGTTAATATACAGTGGGGCAAAAAAGTATTTAGTCAGCCACCGATTGTGCAAGTTCTCCCACTTAAAATAATGACAGAGGTCTGTAATATTTATCATAGGTACACTGTGAGAGACAGAATGTAAAAAAAAAAACCAGGAATTCACATTGTAGGATTTTTAAAGAATGTATTTGTAAATTATGGTGGAAAAGAAGTATTTGGTCAATAACAAAAATTCAACTCAATACTTTGTAATATAACCTTTGTTGGCAATAACAGAGGTCAAATGATTACTATAGGTCTTTACCAGGTTTGCACACACAGTAGCTGGTACTTTGGCCCATTCCTCCATGCAGATCTTCTCGAGAGCAGTGATGTTTTGGGGCTGTCACCGAGCAATACGGACTTTCAACTCCCTCCACAGATTTTCAATGGGGTTGAGGTCTGGAGACTGGCTAGGCCACTCCTGGACTTTCAAATGCTTCTTACGGAGCCACTCCTTCGTTGCCCGGGCAGTGTGTTTGGGATCATTGTCATGCTGGAAGACCCAACCACGTTTCATCTTCAAAGCTCTCACTGATGGAATCAAAATCTCACGATACATGGCCCCATTCATTCTTTCCTTAACACGGATAAGTTGTCCTGTCGCTTTGCAGAAAAACAGCCCCAAAGCATGACGTTTCCACCCTCATGCTTCACAGTAGGTATGGTTCAAGTCAGTATTCTTTTTCCTCCAAACACAACGAGTTGAGTTTATACCAAACAGTTCTACTTTGGTTTCATCTGACCACATGACATTCTCCCAATCCTCTGCTGTATCATCCATGTGCTCTCTGGCAAACTTCAGACGGGCCTGGACATGCACTGGCTTCAGCAGGGGACACGTCTGGCACTGCAGGATTTGATTCGCTGTCGTCGTAGTGTGTTACTGATGGTAACCTTTGCTACTTTGGCCCCAGCTCTTTGCAGGTCATTCACCAGGTCCCCCCGCGTGGTTCTGGGATTTTTGATCACCGTTCTCATGATCATTTTGATCCCACGGGATGGGATCTTGCGTGGAGCCCCAGATCGAGGGAGATTATCAGTGGTCTTGTATGTCTTCCATTTTCTGATAATTGCTCCCACAGTTGATTTGTTCACACCAAGCTGCTTGCCTATTGTAGATCCACTCTTCCCAGTCTGGTGCAGGTCTACAATTATTTTCCTGTTGTCCTTCTACAGCTCTTTGGTCTTGGCCATAGTGGAGTTTGGAGTTTGACTGTTTGAGGCTGTGGACAGCGGTCTTTTATACAGATAACGAGTTAAAACAGGTGCCATTAATACAGGTAACGAGTGGAGGACAGAAGAGCTTCTTCAAGAAGAAGTTAGAGGTCTGTGAGAGCCAGAGATCTTCCTTGTTTGAAGTGACCAAATACTTATTGTAGCGTCCCCGGTTGCTTTGGCTGGTCACTCGAAACTGATGGTTCACATCTTTATTGTTTCTTTAGCATGTGAACAACACCGTAAGAGCTACAAAGAATCAACCAGGGACGCTACAATAAACGGGAGAAGTGGCAGTTGGACCAAAAGGTTGTGTGCTACAGTAAGAGCTTGTTCCCTCATCAACCAGGTGCAAAGAGCTGAAACAAACCATGGAAAACCTTGACTGAACACTATCAAGCCACCAAGAACTGTAGCACACAACCTTTTGGTCCAACTGCCACTTTCTTCTCCCGTTGCTAGGCAACGACCTGTGGCCAAACAGTTGCCATGCGCACAAAAATAAAGTGTTGAACATACAATAAATGATAATCAATAATGGTAAAACATTAATTCACTAAGTCATTTACACTTATTTTCCACCATAATTTACAAATAAATTCTTTAAAAATCCTACAATGTGAATTCCTGGATTTTTTTTTCACATTCTGTCTCTCACAGTTGAAGTGTGCCTATGATGAAAAAATGACAGACCTCTGTCATTATTTTAAGTAGGAGAACTTGCACAATCGGTGGCTGACTAAATACTTTTTTGCCCCACTGTAACATTAACTGAAGTTATTGAAAGGTTGGTTTCCATTTGCAGTACAAAACTTTGTTTAATGAAGTGCTCCACTCCTCACTGTGTTTCCGACTCACCCCCCTCCCTGACCCCGCCCCCCTCTGACAGCCACATTGGGCCGGCAGTCGGAGGTGCTCATCCCGAGAAAAAATCCGTGCTTTATACAAAGCACAATGTGTCTATCCAACTGTCTGTGAAACTGTGTGTTATTGCTCTCTGCTGTTTATTCTACTGTTTGTCGCATGGCGCCGTAAAGATGGCGCCGTGGCAAGAGCTCTGGTGTGTGTCGTCTTCTCTGTCTGGTGCACACCGGGGTAGTCTTGCACAGTTTTTCCAATGTGGTTTTACTGCAAATGGCAAATAAATGAATCTGAATCTGAATCTGCTGTCCTTGTCATATTTGCGAGCGGATCTAGATTTTGTTGATTAATTATTGGAGAACAGTGCAGACACCAACCAAACTGCAAGCCCCAGCATTCTTCCAAAAACACAGCAGACGTAGCCCAATAGTATTTCCCATGAGAAACACATTCTAGCTGCAACTTCCAATGCTGGTTTGTCACTGAACTGGTGGATACACTGGTGGATAGACATAATGTGAACAACATTCACGCTCATATTTTGAGCATATGGATATTATATGATGAACCACTACTTGCTTAAGTTTAAAAACTCCAGAATGTAACCTCTCCTCACCTCTGTCCTATACAACTTCATTGAAATACTACACAGATGACAAGCCCACATCATTGCAGTGATCAGCTCTTGTTCAGATGCACATGCAGCAGACCACCTGCTCATTGGGTTACCCATGTCACAGTCTGGGACCAGCAGATATTGAGTCCCTGCCTCCTCCTGTCCTGCTCCCTTTCTCTGGCTGTGATCTTTTATCAGCACCATCATTGCTGTGGTAAGCTGTGGTGAATTCATGGGTTTTGGTTTGGTGTCTGAATGTGCAGGCCGCTGCGTGACTAATGTTGCAGTCTGCTGAGCGTCGCATGGCCTTATCGTGCACGAGATGCTGCGCATGCACACAATCACTAATGAGCGAAAGGACCGTGTGCGCTGAGCTTCAACTATACAGGATCAGAGCATCCTCCTTGAGGCCTCCCAGAATGCACATCTTTCATTATGAAATGTTTGACGAGAGATGATTGTATTTTCTGGATCAGAGTTAAAAGTAGTCATTAAAAATTACAGTAACTGGTTAAAATAAATTAAACAATACGTGTGGACTCGATGATGCTCCCTCTGGCTTACAAACTCTGTCAAATGGGAAAACAGGCACACATAACCTGTCCTTTGGGCATAAAGGACTAAGCCTTTTAGGCTTTGAACACAAGAGGGTGTTTATGTGAATCGATGATCAAAGACACTCTGTGTCGCCATAAGACCAGAGGGTCTCACTTGTAGAGACAGTCACACACATTCACCTTATTCCACTTGACATTCAAAATCAATTAAATAGATGTAAAGACTAGGCCTGGCTAGGATGTTTACTCGATATTCACATCAGAAGATATAGACACATGCAGCAACAAGCCCCCTTCCCCCTGCTCACACAAGAAGTGTCTGAAAAGGTCAGAGTCAATGAATGAGCTACAGGTTAGGTACGACATCATAATGCCACTTTCTATGTTAGACTGTTGGGGTGACACATTCTTCTACATGAAGAGCATGTGGCCATATGGATACATGACTACAACTGTAACCAGAAACAAATATACAAATGATGTACCTCTGGCCCTTCCACTGGACTAAGTGGGGAGTAAGAGGACACAGTGGGCGATGAAGAGGATGATGTTGAAGATGGAGACGAAGGTGAGGTCGCTCCTGGTTTAGCCTCCATCTTATTCAGCTTTAGATCCACATGTTTACTGTTCAGACCTGGAGATAGAGAGGAACACTCAATGCCAACAATAAAAGACAAATGTGTTTATTTCATCCAACAAGTCATGTTGAATAACATTATTTACCAAAACTACAAATTAAATTTTAGTCCATTTCATGTTAGTTAACTGAATCAACAAAGAACAGAATAAGAAAACACAAATAACACTGAGATATGGCACTTCAAAGCTTAACAGAGCATTGCTTGTTGTGTTTCTAATAGTGACTTCGCCTATCTCACATCAATGGGAATGTGGTGACAGAAATAATAGCATTTTTCTGAAAAACAAAGTAATTATTACCTCTGAAGATTGCTGTGAATGCTCCCCTAAAGATATGATTTATTGTGAATTGCGACAACTTTTTGAAGTGTATTAATCACATTTAAAACTTTCTAGTAAAAGAAACATGAAATAAAGCCAAAAAGAAATTTACTCAAGTGTGTTAGCAGTGTAGTTTAAAGCACCACAGACATTGAAGCATGCAGCCTAAGCCAGTGTTTTACCCAGAGAGGTTAGCTCAGAGCTGGGGTTAGTAAGCTCCAGCAACCCCAGTGCAGAGGAAGTGTTTGGAAGTGAGGCCTGGAGTGGCAGTGGGTTAGTGACCAGAGGAACTGTAGAAGTTGAATAATGTGCAGCTGGATCAGATTTAAACTGGAACTGCTCTTCCTCAGCACACTCTTCCTCATCCTCACCCCTCCTTTCAAAATCAAAATCGTCCTCATCACGCTGATCCCTCACTCCATCTATAGCATCTGTGGATATGGAACAGGTCAAAAGAGCAAGAGAGAAAGCAGAATAAGATAGTGTTAAAGCAGTTTTTTAAAAAGAGATGTGAGAAGATTCATTATTAGTTTTCAGAAATAAGAAGCAATATAACATTCAAATGTTAGTAAAAAGAAAAACGCAATCAATGAGAGTTAGAAATTTTTGAGTTTTTCTAAGGCAGATATATTAAATCATAGGCTCTTTATCATAGAGGCAGAAGTTGAACACATTCTAACAGGTAGCTGCATTGATGATTCCCTTTGTGATCAAAATCTGATCGACAGGTTGACAGGTTATTGCTAGGGAAACTATTTTTAACAATCACTTTGAGATTTACATTTGTTCATCTTGTGGGTTTGTTCTGAGCAGCTGAATCCAGTTTATTATAAGGAACAATTGCCTTTTAATTGTCTTCATTCGTACATTTGTTCACATTTGAGTCCCAGACAAAATAACCAGGCAAATTTTTGCAAGAAAAAAATGAAAGCATATATTCCATTAGGTCTCCAGAGGGGTTCGAAAGAAAAAAGAGTGTCTCCACATTTCCAACAAAGAAAATAAAATTACAACAGGCCCATGCAGAGACTCGAAGAGCTCTAGCTGCATGGATAACCCACTATGGATTAAGACAAAAACAATCAGTAAACAGCGACAGAACACGCAGGCTCCCTCCTCTGCTATTTACAACTTGCTGGGCCGAGCCGCAAAGAACAAAGCAGCAAAGATTGTAAATAAGAAGAACATTTTCTCTATTTTTTTTTTCCTAATTTGCTGGCTGCGTTGTGGAGCGTGCTACCAAGTACCGTCCCTGCGTGGATGGTTGGGGTCTAATTAATAGGAGGCCATGGTGATAGAGTTTGGAAAGTTTCTTAGCGGGTAGATACTTGGAAGGGGGGTCCGTGCTGCACTGAAGGAGCGTGAATGGTGAGTTTGTGTGTAGGGGCTAGGATTAGCCGTTCTGCTCGGCAAGCCTTGTGAATCACAGCCCAAAGCATTTCTCTTCTCCTCACCTCCCCCTTTTGCTCCCTTCTTCCCTTCTACTCCCCTTTTAATGAGATCAACAATTAGTTCAATTCAGAAAGGCTGAAAGAGCAAAGAAATCAAGTGCCCCTCTTCTCGAGAATACTTTTTTGTCATTGTCATTTTCAGTTAACGAGTCACTGATCTCACTTCTATCTACGGATTTACTCATCAGGCTTTTGTCAGTTGAAATTTTCCACTCATCTTAAACTTACACGTAATCTAACAGACTGGTCTGAGATAACTAGTAGTTACAATTAGCCCTTCATTCACATCGTTGTATCTGGTTCGTCCAATGTTATTGTTATGTCCAGAGTTATTGTTATGTCCAGAGTTATGTGTGGTAGTCAGGCCCCTTTTCTCTTAGGGCACGGTCACATAGGTTTTTACAAACGAACCAGGCCAAGTGGCCCGGATCGTCGCCACAGGGGTGTGAAAACGGCCCGCGGTCACATGAACGTGTTGTCTGAACCGTGCCAGAGTAGTACAACGCCTGGTCCAGCTGGTGGCGCTAATAATAACTCCAGTGACTACCACGTTGTTCGAGTTGAGTTTCCGCTTTTTTTCCTGTTTACATCCTGCTACTGCAGCTTGCAGGCTCGAGCATGCACCGCGTTGTTTGCATCAGAGCAGTGTGAACAAGTGTGAGATATGTCTTTCCCCAAAATGCAGCGGTGGGACACGCGTGTGTTGTCTGTGTGTACGGGCGCGCTGCGGACACGGGAGCGCGCCTTTATAGTAACGAGCGTAAAGCGCTGAGAATGAATGAATGAAAGACAGAAAAGTGGCTACGAGCGACCGGAGCGTGTGTGTGTGTTCTGGCGGTTAAATAAAGACTGATTCTTGAATGTCTGAAGTTAGCACCACACTGAGAGCGAGGGTCAGGACAGAAGAGAGCTATACCCGTAGGATATACCACGGTCCGGGGCCTTATATGAAAGGTTAAACACAGCGGAGAATACAAAAGTGCAGGAGAGACTGTGTGAAAATGCGTGTCACAGGAAGACGTAATGTGACGTACAATATCAAGTCAGCACGAGGCACACATGTTGCAGCCACATAGCACCTAAAGCCCGGATCTAATTGTGAAGCGGGCCCTGGCACACTTCAACCGTGCTTTAGGCTGCGCATGTGACCGCAGCCTTGGTGCAGCCTTTACATGTTGCCTGATGATGTAGCTAGATGGTCAAATATTGATCAAATTATGTGCGGTGGAAAACTTAACATTAATCATCACTCGAATCCAGCCATTCCCATATCAAACCTGGTGGTGGCAGCATCATGCTGTGGGGCTGCTTTTCTTCAACAGGGATAGGGAAGAGTGTCAGTGTTGATAGAAAGGGGAAAAGTGGGTCAACAAAATACTTTAAGCTGGGGTGGAGTTTTACCTTCCACCAGGACAATTTCCCTAAACAACAGAACATTTTCAACGCAATGTATTCATGTGTTAGAATGACCCAGTCAAAGTTCATACCTAAATCCAATCAAACACTGGCAATAACTAGATACTGTAATAGATACAAATCCATCCATTTTCTTCCCCTTTATGCATCTCTGTGGGCTGGTGCAATTCAAATCTATATTAGGAGCCGAGCCAGTTCCACAGAGTATTGACTCAGGTGGGCTACTTGCATGCATGGCATACTTTGTAATGTATCCTTTTGGGCTAAATGTGGAAAGTTTGATTGGGTATAATGACTTTTTCAAGGCACTGTAAACTGCCGTATAGTTTCCATAGTAAAGTTTTGTAGGTCACTTCAAAACTTAGTTTCAAAATCAGTCAATACATTTCTATATGCCACAAAATATAACAAACGTCTTAAACAACAAGAGGCATATAATAATGGTCATTACCATAATAACCCCAATTTCAGGAAAACGAAAAGCAGTGGGACGTGCACACAGCATATTTGTTCCTCCTGTAAGCTGTTATTAGAAGCGTTTTTGTATTTGGGGCATAATGTGGCCACACCATGTGTTGTGTTGATTAACAATTACTGAGGGAACGAGACAAGGGAGGAGTTTCAGGGTAAATTGCTGCTCTGAATATTGGGATGGTTTTTCAGTCTCTGGGTTGCAGTCAAATATAATTTTCTTTTTCTGAGGATTAAGCAGATCCCCTTTAGAGAGCATAATGGAAAACTGGGATTCATGGTGTGTGCTGGAAAAGGTATACATTAAAAGAGAATGTGTCGACAGATATGATAGCTTGTGTGAAGTGTAACTGACCTCCAATAGGACTGGTCCTAGTTCCTCTGGATCTGTCTGCATCTAATGTGCTCAGGTCAGACATTTTGACTCCAGATCGAGCTTCAGCAATCAGCTGCCTGGCCCTTTCCCTAAGCTGCCTCCTCCGTTCAGCGTCTTGTTCCTAAAAATACAAAGCACCTCAAACAATAAGACACGCAACAAAATGCAATCATTAAATATAATTAAATTGAAGAAAACTATCTGTAAGACACTGCACACCATTTATGCATTTGAAGTGTATGTGGTGGAACAGCACAAGTCAGATACAGTATTGAAAATGCACCTTCAGTCGCAGAATTGTAATTTTGAGACCGAACTGATCACGCTGATAGTGTGGGCACAACACAACCACCCATCCACCACGGTCAGAGCAATACTCTTTGATGAAGGGAATTGAAGAACACATAACTGATGAAATACTGCATGCGCTGGAACTAGGGCTGTCAAAAATAGCGCGTTATTAACGCGTTAACGCAAATCAATATTAACGCCGTCATTTTTTTTATCGCGCGATAAAAAAAAAAAAAAAAAAAAAAAAAGATTTTTTTTTTTTTTTTTTTTTTTTTTTTTTTTACTTTTTATTGCATACAAACACATAGAAACAAAGAAAAGGACTAGTTCAGATACATTGTAGACAGAGATTACAAACAATATGTAGTTGGAGATACAGGGGGCCAAAGAAGAAACCCAGAAGGGCACATAGGAGGGGAGGGACATGAAGTGGGAGATGGGGGGAGGGGTTAATAAAAAAGGCAATACAAGCAAACAGTATACAGTCATAGATATACCGAAGGTAAACAGAGAAACAGCATAGAGTATTTACATGAACAAATTTACAAAATATTTACAGATTGTTTATCATCATCATAATGACACCATGATGTTTCTATACAGTCTATGGTCTATACCCACACACACACATTGAAGGGGCTTTTTGTTACCAATTATTTATTTTGTCATCCATTTATTGATGATTTTGCATCAAATGTTAGTGTGTAATATAACACTACACATTGTTTTCAATAAAAAAAGCAATTGCACACAGCACGCAAATGTGTGACTAATTTGCGATTAATCGCGAGTTAACTATGAAATTCATGCGATTAATCGCGATTAAATATTTTAATCGTTGGACAGCACTAGCTGGAACATTTATTTCGACTTTGTTTTCTTGAATGCAGAAAGTAACCAAAATAAGAATCAATACTGTTATCTACCTAACATGTAAATTATATTATTAAATTATAATGTATATTAAACTTTTCTCATCAAATTGAAGGAACATTTTGGTTAAATACATTTTTGTAGACTTTGAAAGACATGCACATGGCTCAAGAGAATAAGATTTTTTTTTCTATTTGTCCCTAATCTTACTCCCTGTGGTTTCCTGTTAATCAGGCTTCTCCATATTGAGCCAGGGGTTTTAGAGTTGGCCTATTGAATCCACCAATTTACCCATTAACAAAACAAGCAGTACCCGCTAATGAGCTACATCTCTCAATTTCCATGTCAATTGTTTGTTTGTAGCTATTGTTTGGCCTGGACAATAGACAATAGGGTAAGTGACAGCAACCTAATGCACAGGGTGTATGTGTGTGTTGGAGACAGGTCTGGTGGATGCCCACAGGGCAAAGGGAACACACCTAGAGAGACTGATAAATAGCAAGAGACAGAGACGGTGGCAGGAGTGAGACCAAAACACAGATAACAGTTAAGGAGCTACAGTGGAGAATTACACAATGCATTATATATACATTAGAACAAAATATTCTGTTATTATGAAGAAATGTCCCACACTGTAGATTAGGATGACACTGTATACCAAATACTCTATACATTACTGTAAGCAAAGATGAGAGATACATAGCTGGATTGGAATTGTCTTTACTGACAATAATACATTTTCTTTCTATGTGGGAAAATATTGAACGATTTAATCTTAACATCAAAGTTGGATGTCAAAAGAGGTACACTATATGCACACTTCTTTATTACAATAGGTCTAGAGTTAGAGTTAGGGTGATGAGACCAGGTTTGACCTTCTGGAAAAATGGATGATAGTGCTGGCCATGGCAAATACAAATACGCTTGAATTATGAAGGCCACATACATTACAACAGCATTCTCCCATGGACGCTGTACCTTATTTTCAAGCCTTTAAAGACAGAATAAACGGAAATTGCTTTGCCTATCCAGAGGCAAGGATTATGAGCATACAACATGTCAGAGGTGCTGATTAGAAAAAGCCGTCTTACAGGACAGTTCATCTGTATGCTATATAATTCTCCAAAGCATTGTGAATAGACCGGCAATTCATATATACTTCCTCAAAATGTTGTGTAAAACTGATAAAATGAAGCCAAATCTGATGACCTTAGGTGTTCAGAAGTCGGAATCCTTTTGTTCCTTCCACACACAAAACAAGAGTGAACAGTTGCAGACTGTGGTTACATTAAATGCTGGAAATGTCTGCAGTAAAAGCTAAACGCTTGAGTGCTGGGCTGAGACAGAGGGTTTCTGTGGTCTTGGCGTTGGGCTGAAGCGCTCTCTGAACGGGGGGAGCAGGTTGTCGCCTTCACTGCTCTTTTCGAGGCCAGTGGTAAAAAGGAGGGAGGCCATGCACTAGTGATTTTATACAGAGACCTGGCGTGGGCGCAGTCGGATGCCCTGTGCACCAGACACAGCTCCACTGAAAAAGCTTTACCAACCTCCCAGATAGCCAGCCAGCGCAGCAGCCGCTCCAGACATTTGTCATGACAAACTCATTCACCGTTAAGAGCTTCTTTAGGTCTCTATCTTGAATTGGCACATACACAGACAATACAAAACGGAAAATGGCAACATGACTCCAGCTACCGGGTTCTCATGTTAATAATGGTAACAAATTGCACATATATTTCAGCTGTAAGTTAAACTAACGTCGTGATACTATATTTTCACTATAGATATGTATTTTTATATTTTGTTTATTATTGGATATTTGGAAGACCAGTAGAGTTATCTTGTAATATAGAGCTCCAAAGATGACTGTGAGGGAGACTCTTATCACTTGGCACCAGACGGAGTACGCGGATCAATGAGCGCATGAGGCCCATAGTGATCAATGCATTTGATAAGGAATTAAAGAAGAGCCACTGTACAAGACTATCAAAGAAACAGGACATGGCCTAATTATGATTTGACATGTGCGTGCCCATGATAGGGGTCTGTATCTACCACTCTATATAAAAGGTATACTCTGAAATATAGAATGCTCATAAAAAGCCTTATTATTCAAACTTCAAGGAAAGTGATCTATATATTTCATTGAATTTGTATATGTAATCTCTAATCATATCTAGGCCATCATTTGATACCAAAACATAATTGACTAAATATTTTTGTATGTATTTATATTTTACATTATTCAGGTATTTTGACCAAAGTACTGCTATTTAACATAAGTTATGGTATCATTTTCTAGGAGATTGTTGATGTATTTAGCTATTAAAGTGTTTTAAAAAACAAAAACAAACTTAACTTTTTACCCTAACCCTAGTCCAAACCATGGTCTAACTACCATTGCTGGAAATTTAACAAAAATAAGTGAGAAGCCTCCTTTAAGAATCCTCCTTTGGGCACCCCTGAACTCAGGCTCTGACAACTCCAACTGGCTGGTTTAGAAAAAGTTTTTATAAGAAAGAAATGTGTATGATTCTGATATTGATGGAGGCTTGACAAGAACGCAGTAGAGATTATTCTAGCATTCAGGGCCAGAAGTTCACCAAATTCTAAAAGATTTAACGTCAGAAGAAAAATCTTTTCGAAGTACAAGAACTTTTGTTAAATAGTAGTTGAGTCTAAACGGCCCTTAGAAACTGGGCTGAGTCACACTGTATGCAATAATTGTGTGAGAGAACAAAGCACAGTTGTACAGTGCGACTGGTTTAACAGGAAAAGTGAAGAGAGGAAACAACACTCTTCACAAACTGGCAGTCGAGTGAAAAGCTTTGCCCTTTAAATAGACAAGATAATTATGAGGGAGGGACCACTGTGCAAATAAAAAAGGACTGAGAACAAGAGCTGAAGTTTGGGACCTTAAGGCATTACATCTATAGATATTATTTTATTTTTTCTATACAATTAATGCATAGAAAAACAACTAACGACATAAGTATGAAGTAAAAAAATAAAAGAATGCAGTCTATCATCCGTGGTACGCGTCTTTGTCACTGAATCTCATGATTATCAGGAGGGCTCCAAAAACGGGGAGAGTAAAATGAAAATAGGTTTAAAATATAATTTAAGGATTGTAGGATTTTAATAGAAGAAAATCAATGGTTTATATCTAACAGTAATATACATTTTGAAAAAGATAAATCATGCTATTAGGTCAATATTTAAATGTTTATGCTATTTTTCTAAGCATATGTTGCAGTACCATGATGTACACATTTCATACTGCTAATAAAAACAATTAAGCGGCTAAAGCAAAGACTTTCCAACTCATCAATCAATAACACCGCTCAAAAATGATATCCATCCTTTAGTGCTGTCAGAACTTTTGTATATCAAGCATGAACACTAAACACCAATTTGGATACCACAGCAACTAATTATAAATTAGGTTTGGACTATAATTGTAAACTACTACTACTACTACTAAACTATAACTGTTAACAAGAAACACTTTGAGATTCTAGATTTGGTGCTAGTTTTAAAAATGATTAACATCGTTAAGTATTTTCAATCCTTTTCACTACTCAACTCCACTGTACATAGTACAAAACAAATTACTTTCTTCATTTAAATGAACCTACATATAGTATATTCTTAATAAAAAGACAATATTCCAACCGCTTGCACTGTCTGTAACCACTTTCTAATAAGTGGAACAAAGACAAATCAAGTGTCTTTGTGAGGGAGAAGACAGCACTACAAAGTGGACCACTCTTGTGTTGTGGAAGTGATGTGGTCAAATGTGCACATGAGGTATGTGTGAAGGCCCATCAGAGAAGAAAGGGAGAGAGAAATGTGAAGAGACGTAGAGGGCAAGTGCATTCCTCCAATAACGCTCAGAGGGAAAAACATGGTGTTTCTGGGCTCTCCTGTGATGGCTTGATCAGCTCTTGTGATGCAATGGAGAAAGCGCTCTTTCTGTTGCTCGTTACGGCACACACTCAGTTCTGCTTTGATCTCGCCTCGAGCCAATTCATCCACGACACATCCCCTCGCTCCCCGACACAAGCAAGCACAAGGAACTCCCCACCTAACTATTTAGTTTCATTAGGCACAAATTCTTAAGAAGGACTGGAGAGCAAAGACTGAGAGGAGGGGGGCAAACAGGGTGACGCTCAGAAAAATAAAAGGTCTGGAACCACATTAAAATAAGGCTTGAATATTAGAGCATAGAGAAGGGTTGTGACAAATTACATTTAAGAATGGACCATTTCACCATAACTAAGGGGCAATTATAAGGGAGTTGATTTGGTAGATTTTGTAAGTTAAACGTGACCTCGAGAGGATTGAGCTGGAATATAACTTAGGACTGTCATGATATTGAATTGTGTTACTGTTGTGATTGTGAGAAAAAGCATACATTTTCTCCATGCACAAGAACAGAGAATTTGTCTGAAGATTTCTTAAGTCTGTGAACATGAACATTAATTTACATCATTTGCATTTTGTCTTGTACCCCACCCTATGTGTCATGCCCTCCATTTCAGCCTTGTTTTTTGATGCAAATAAAGTGGAAAAATTACAAAACAATTTCCATGTAAAAAGAAGTAGACAACAGCCAGGGAAATGAGGACATGGAGCATCTTAAAGAGATTCAAAGAACAGCTGATGAAGAAAACACCCACAGGTCACAGCCGCAAAGACCAAAGTTCTTTCCACTTAAGAGTACGACAAGAGAAGAAAACTAAGGGGGTGGGGTCCCGCAAAAATCAAACGGCACCCAATTATATGAATCACAACGAGTCACTGAGCAGGGGAACTCTTACCTGCAAAACAGCCAAGCATTTGCGAGCACTTTCAGACAAATTCCTTTCTCCATTACGCACACACTTTTTTCTGTGTTCTTGGACTCTGGTGTAGCAGTTTTGCACAGGATGCAAATTCACAGGACAGCATGGAAAGACATTCTCCGAAACGTTTGGAGTCTTGATAATTAGCCTGGCCAGACTGCTGTGAAATTACTGTTCTCAACTGCTAATGGAAGATTTCTACACACAAACACACTACTCTATTAAAGCAATGTGGATGGTCAAGAAGTACAAGAAAGTGTTCTGGTGGTCAAAGATTTGATAACCTTTAGTGTTTTAATTATAATTACTTCCATCATTAAACGGGAAGTTCATTCTATGGTAAGAAATAAACAATGTAAAGGCCTGACATTGTAAAAAGAATTGATTTACCAGAGAAGTTCACAAATTATATTGCGGCATAAAGTACTATAGGGTGAAAGCACTACAGGTCAAATTTCAGTTGGCCTCAGGATAATCCCAGGAAACGCTTTTTTGTTATGTTAAATAATTGATAAGTAATAAAAATAATACATAAGAGTATGTATTTAGTGTCAATATAAAAATCTAAATTTTAGAACGTTTGGAGGTACAAAAAAAGGCTAGATAAGAAGCTGAGGCGCTGTAGCTTTTGTCCTTTGATTGCAGAGTTACTCTAGTTAAACGTGGGAACAATGCCTGCACGGAAAATAGTAGGGGGGGACTGAGGTATCAATTCATTCATTCAAAATCATTATCTAATGAATTTGACATTAGCAACTCCAGAGGACTTTTGTCTATCTAAATTTTCCGTGGTAAGTAGAGAGGAGGGTAAAGCTGGTTAATTTTGTATACAGTGTGGCTTGACTGTTGAACGTTGAAAATTCCAAAAGTCCCCTGGTGGAATACATATCAAATTCATAATCCAAATCTTTGGGAGCAAAAGTGATGATTTTTTCAGGTAAATAGACCCTCTCCCCATGCATAAGCACATACTTATGCATGATTAGTCAATATAGTAATGACCCAAAAGGCCTCATTAATGACACAACAAAGTCAAAGAAGTTACAAGACAGGAGGTGCAGATATGATGACTCTATACTGATGAAGAATATGATAACTGAAGGAGAGTGTGACAGACGGCAGAGTGGATAGAGAACAGGAGAAAAGTGAACCTGTGACCTTAGATCAAAGAGCCAGTCACTGTGGGCTACAATTAGGACTGGCAGGAGGGGGACAGCATAGGTCAAAAGAACAGGGCTTACAACCCCATACTCCTCTTCGCACACAAAGAGCACAGAACAGACACTGCTGCAATTTGACAATGATTTGGAGATATTTTGAATAACAAGGTTGACGCTACAGCACCATCGCAACCACATGTTTGCATAACCACTGTTATAATTACTTATGTAAAATATATTATGAAATACATTATATTGCAATAGTCAGGTGCTAAACTGTAAGAAGTTAATCCTGTGATATATGGTTAAATATACTGTAATTAATTCATAATACAATGGTCCTTTATTTTCAAAAGGGGAACAGTTTACATTGCATGCATTGTACTGGAGTAGACTTAGGTAAATTTATATTGTGTATAAAAAATATGTATATTTACCGAATGTGAGCGAGCAATACATATATGTGCTACCCCTCTAAAGAGAATTAGGTGAAAATAACCTAAGACACTTCTTGCCTCGACATTATCCACAGCCGCAAAAGAATAAAGGAAGTTTAATTGAATTAACTTATACCTTATGCATACTAAATCAAAGCACCTACTCAGACAAATTGAGAATTAATAGGGGAAACAGCTTGGGTCTCTTGAGCTGATAACATGGCAGGCGCAGGCACACGCACACACACATACACGCCATGCTAATCAAAACAAGACATCAAGTAATCTAATCTGAATCACTAACAATTATCAGCACATTGGCCCAGGGGCCAGTCGTATTCCTTTGATCAATGCTTTCTATTAAAAAGTGTAAACAATTCAATATATCCTCTTGCCCCCTCTATCACATCTTTCTCTGTGTGTGTATGCATGCGTGTGTAGGAAGGGGTTATTAACCAATTGTCCTTGAAAATGAGTAAGGAAATCGCAAGACGAGAGAGATGTGCAGAGAGCATAGGGCCAAACCAAGCTACTTTGAGAGGCTAATCTGAGAGAGTCAGCCATCTTGCACAACAAGGGACATTATAGAGGACCTTTATTTTTGCCACCAAGGAATATACCCACGCCACAACAGCTTTGAAATTGTTCTAATTTGGACTTTCTCCCCAAACAACTTTAAACACTTCCCCTACCCCCTTTTTTTAGATGCTGAAATGGTTATTTCTGTAGCCACACTCATACAAACAAGACACAAACACACACTTCTAATTCAAGGGCACATTTATCTTTAAAGATTTGTGTGGCGAATGCAGTGGCATGTGTCTGCTGCCTTTTAGATATTTCATTACTAAAAGGTATTTATTTCATTTTTGCAACAAATCTTTTGTCGTCACAATTCTCACAAGACAGGATTTTTTGAGCAGCCCCTCTTCCTCTGCCTCAACTCATTTGGAGAACGTCAGTACAGATTTGACCACAGAGCTTTCCCATGGAGGCTTGTGGTCCATTGGTGCCCCCCTTCCATCACAGTATATTATGTTCAGTGGAGCGTGCCTGGTTCAGAACTGGCAATTTCAGCCATGTCTTCTCTAGTCTAGTTAGCTTCTACGCAGTAGCCATGCTCTTCAGTTATTGCAAACGTACTTCTGCTGACAGGTGTTTGTGGACAACATTTATTTTGAGGGGAAACTGAAAGAGCTGCAAATGTGTCTGAATGTCACAGAAATTGTGAAACGACCAACTAAACATAATGAGAGGCAGCCCTAAATGGGACAGGAAGGGGAGAGGAGTTATTCAGACAAGTAGAGGCACGAGTCTTCAAGAGAGTACCAAGTTAATCCAGAACACATTAACTCTGTGCTTGCCAATAGGACCAAAGGACAAGCATAGTTGAAACCAGTTGAGCATGAAAGCATTTTCCCACATACTGTTCTGTAAAACAATCTTAATCACTTACATCAGAAACTGTTGAGGTTTTTGCTGATGCAGCAAAAGCAGAGTTGGGTACATTCTTATTGCTTGCTTTCACTGCAGCATCTCGCCGAGCTTGTTCAAGCAGAAGTCGAGCTCGTTCCTTGAGCTCTTCTTGACGAGAAAGAATTTTCTACAAGACATAATAGGTACATAATTAAAACATAGACCAGGGTTTAAAACTGTATGACATGACGGTGAAATAGATCGTACCTTTTCAGCTGTAGGACTTTTGACAGGAACTGGAGTCGAGGTCTAACAAAAACAAAACATAGGCTTAAATTCAATAAAATAAATCAAATTATTATTATCATTCCTCATATAAAAAAACTCAAACAAAAAACAGTTCTATTATTTGATATATATTAGTGCTATTAACTGATTCAAATTTCTAGTCTTGATTAATTGTATTTATGTCATAGTTAACTCAAAATTAAATCACATTTAACTGCATATTTTCCCCTTGTATCAATGTGGCTTGATTTGGTTTGAAAAGGGATTGGGCGAAGCAAAAAGCTTACATTAATCTCCTCCAAAAAGAAAGTGACGCATCTTTCAGTCACAATACATACTTATGTTAATTGTGCAATCAAAAATGATGCCGTTAAAAGTAGGTTTGCATTAACGCTGTTATTAACGCATTTAACTGACTGCACTAATAGAAATATATATTTATAAACACACAAAGAAGAAATGCAATATAATATTGAAATGTACAAACTTGAAACAAAAAGTAAATTTATATTTCACAACCCAATGTTTGAGTAATGAAACAGATTCCGCTGCTGGTTTCAGGTTAAGAGCTCAAATATACATGACAAAGCTGAAGTTTGCCAAGTGACAATTGCTTATTTTCTTACTAGCTCCTTACTAATGGAGTGCATTATAATTCAAAGTGCATTTTGCAGATTTATAACTGGAATTTCAAATTGAATCCATTGTTTTCCCAACCCTACAATGATTGATAGGGACACACCTCCTGATGTGTATGTTTGGCTTGGCCAGGACCTTTGCAGGTGGATGTTACCTATAGTTACCCATGTTTTGGGTACAACCATAACTTTGTGATACTATAGAATACCTTCTATAGTAGACTTAGTAGACTAAGTGATGGATCAAATCAGGCATCATCAGCATCATATCTCCCCTGCTGCCCATGCCTCGTGTGACCTTTACACTTGTAAACAGGAAACCGTAGTCTGGGGTTACCAAAGCTGTGGTGTGTTTGGTGTACGAGTATGACATCTTGTCCGCACATGAAAACAGGTACGTGCCTGTTAGTGTGTCAGGCAAGATGAGGTGTGCTGTGCGCAAAGCGTTGCCACGCCTGAGTAGTCACGACTCTTTATGTCATCAACCAAGGGATGAGAAATATAATGAAAAATATAATGAAATGTCAAAGCAGGGGGTTCACTGAGGTGCCCTCTACAGTCGCTAAATGTTCATAGCCGAGGCTTGACAGGTCTCATATCTAAGTGAAAGTCTGTGCCAGGGCAGCCGTGGCTACAATAGTAGGTTACATCCACGGTGTTTGGAATGCAAAATACAGACTGTAAAGACTAAACATGTAAATAACACATTGATGCTTTTGATTAAAAGTATCATCATAAAGAGTAATTGACAAACTAGGTAAATGAATGCATTGTATAACATGTAGAGCATGCGAGATATAGAACGCGATTTCATATTATAAAATCAGTACCAGTTTAGAGCCAGTATCTATGTGGTTTGTTGGTGGAGGGCTGGCGTCTGATGTCGGCTCTGATGTTGGCTCTGATGTCGGTTCTGACTCTGCGTGGCGCAAACTGGCTCGCTTCTTCTTAATGAGATCAGCATCTCTGTTATAAGAAAAGCCCAATTTCTGTTGTGGGGGTGATGAGGACAACTGAGAAGCTCCTCTTCTGTTAGGATCTCCCGACTCCATCCCACACTCTTTCCTTTCTTCATCCTTTCGCATGTCTGTCTCCACTCTTTTTGGGAGGAGTCCAAGGTCCAGGGTGTCAGCCTTAACTACTTTTGGTCTCTCCTCAGATGTCTTAGACTCAAGGACCAGCCTGGAGTCTATTGTGCTGGTTAAAGTTGTGCGTGGTGCTGGAACAGGACATGGTGATGATGGTTGTGAAGATGACACAGGCGCTATGTCTGTTTTCAAACTTGAGTTTATCTGGTCTGCATCCTCTGTTTCATTACAGTTTGACTCAACTGTAGGTGAATCAGCCTGAGATACTGGTGGCCGTTGCTGTACATCATTTAGTTCAGCATAGAACTTGTCCTGGCCAATAGACGCATTAGTGTCGGTCTCAAAATCACCAACTTTATATGTGCTGCGGCTACTGTTCTCTTCTATCTGCACCACGTTGAGCTCCTCTCCAGAGAAGTGTGCTCGGATCTGGTACAAATAGGTCATTACTGTCAGTTTGTCAGGAATTGCTAATAGCACCATGTCGGAGGGTTCTAGGAGACGGGAAATGCCAAGACTGGCAAAGCCATCATATGCCTGTAAAACATACACATATAAAATGTTACTCAAATGATTTTTAAACAGTTATGCACTACTATATATTATTGATTTGTATAAATTGTGTCAGTTTTGATATAGCTCTGGACAGTGTACATACAGTATGTATGAAGTATACATGTACAAGACACCATGCACATCTTGGACATCTTCGGTGGGGCTTATGGCAGTTCATGTCAAGGATGGTTGTTCCTGATAAAGGGAGGCAGACAATCCTAGACAGAACACCTAATCCCAAAGTATATGTGTCTACGTACTAATATGTGTGTGGTGTCCTTATCTATTGCCTACATCAACCTGCCCACGCTCTCCATCACGCGTGTAATTGGGCTGATTAGACTTTGATGAGAAAAAATATGTCTGATTATCAAGCAAAGCAGCATACCAAGTCCAATCCCCCTCGTGAGATAGACTGGCTGAGACAGAAGGGGGAAGGATGAAAAACATTATCGCATGCAATGACAGGTAAATAAATAGATTAGCACTTGCATGGCTCCTATGCTCACATGACCTGCCCATCCACCTTACACAAGTATCAGACCTCGTATCTTAACCTGCTTGATAGTGTTGATCCAAGTCCAACATGTTGCATTGCATTTGTTTCAGCTCTGTTTGATGCCATCGATCTCACATTCCCTAGGGCCTAGGATTTGACTCTATAAATATTTCATACAGATATAATGTACTTCCTAAAACTACTGTTTGAGAAGAAAGTGTAATTGCATTGTTCCCCTCGCACACAGGACTGGCTGTCAAAGGAAGCAAAAATCTTTGCTCTTCAATGGGGACAAAGTTAAAGAATTAAAGACAAAAAAGTGAGCTGAGCAACAGGGAGGTTCATGAGCAGGGTCTTGATTCAGCATTTAGGCAAGCTTGACAGTCTTCTTGACCCTTACGCCAAGTAATTTATTAAAGAATTACATGTTTAGTATTGGCTGCCCCATATTGCCATTGATCAGTCAGAAGAGTGCTCTGGATAAAAAATAAATAAATAAATATATATATAAATGCATATGATTTTATCTTGACATTTCATAAACTAGGTAAAAAGGATAAACATATACACAACCAATATATACATACTTGAAATTATAACTCAAATGTGAAGAGAATTAGTTACTTTAAAATAATTTGTACTATAGCACAGATCAAATATTACATTAATAGAGAGTTTCTCAGACATTAATGGCAGGGCTTTAGATGTGGACTAAATGTCATCGCTCTATGCCCCAGGTCGCTGCTCCCTGCTCCTCCTCACTCCCGTTCGGTGACTGACAGCTATCTATCGTTGTCAATCATCAGCACCCTTTTCCCTCCAGCCCAACCCCTCACAGTAACGCTCGGGGCAATTTAGCCCGCTGCTCGGCGCTTTGCTATCAGATGGCATGACAAATGACTTCTCCTTGGTCTCATTACACACACATAACTGCACACAGCAACTCAACAGACAGGGCCAACACTGGTCAACAATTTGAACTCAATCTTGAGCAGGTTAACTTTTATACACCAACTTATAATGGATATGTTCAAAGGTTGCTACTGAATATTCATCTTATTCATCCTTTTCTCCCGCAACCTGCTTCTGGTATTGATTGAGCTTATCAGTCATAATTCAGTGGTCTGAGCTTTTTGCAATCATTCTACACAGATAAACTCTGAAAGGAGGAGGGGGCATGTCTATCAACGACTCATAAAGAGGGGAGATAGATGTCATTTTGGTGCATTTCCATTCATGCAGTGCTGTCAATACATTTAAACAAAAGCTTCAAAGGGATTTAAAACGAACAATGGGACACACTGATCGTCCTCTTCTATTGGTCAGCTTTATGCATTTACACAAGTCTATGGTGATATAGAAAAGGTTCATGTAGATCTTCACACTAAACCGGTTACAGTGCATGCCTACCAGCTATCACTTTCTACACCATATTCCTATATTACTTATATCTAGTCAATTCCTTCAGGGCTTCTTGAGCACCTGGAGGGGGTGGGGGGCAGTTGGTAGATATGGGATTGGGTCTCCTTCTCCCTCCACTATGGTTATTGTCAACAGGGTAGCATTCATGCCTAACAGGGCCACCAGAGGTTATCGGCCAGGGAGAGTGTGTATGAGAAGAGGAAATCAAGCTGCATGAACCCGACTCATATCGTTCGCTGTAGCCCTCAGGCCTGGTGTAGTAACAGTGAAATGGGAAAAATGGCAGTAGATGCTGAAAAAGAAAGTGGGAAGCTAGAGGCACATACAGAAAATGGATATGAAACTGAACATCTGGAATGATAGAATATGGTGCCATCATGGGGCTCAGTTGCCATTATAGCAGTTTTTATATCACTCTAGTACATGTATCTTTAACTTCATTTAAAGAGCTGGTTGTATTGTTGGTTGAATCCTTCCCAGGGACGAGAACCCATCACTTTACTCTAAGTAACATAATGGAGGTGGAACATTACTGTCATGATTCCGTAGAAATAATTAAACCTTACAACATTCTCCTGGATATGGTTTAAACAGGATTCATGCAATATAATAGATCATAGCCAACAGAAAATGTTCACGGAAACGCACATGCAGCGATCCTTGTGTAGGACTGGTTTAAGCATGCTGGCAGGTTTTCATACTTTTGCCATTGCCATAGAAAACAAACCAAAAGAGAGAAAAAATAAGTAAGGCATTTGCGAGCTGGAATGGGTAAAGGTAAACATCAACAAACTTCTATCAGATAGTCCATTTAGTGTTATTCATTCGATCCTCCAAGTCTAAACAGTCGGTTCTAAGCATAGTCAAAGAATAATGGCAGATCTTTAAATAAGGCTAAATGGAGATGTGAACAGCAGGTAGCCAAGTGGTAAGAATGGCCCAGCAGTGGCTGCTTCTTACCTTTTTGTTGTTTTCTTTAATATCCTGAGGATTTAGCAACTTGTAGTCTCTGAAGGAACAGTGGGGAGGTTTTAGAAAGGGACAAAAAAAGAGAAAATTATGATGCGTCACTGGCAATGGATGATGTTTAGACGTACAGTGTTTGATATTTAAAATTCAGACATGCTAAACAGAAAGGAGATTTAGGAGACTATAGGTCATTGTTAAAGTTTAACCTATGCAATACATAAAGAATAGCAATGCATGCTGTACATACATCATGTCTGGCCTGAAGTGATGAAGCAGAGCGCAGAAAGCCAAGCCGTTCCTCCACGATGTAGTAAAGTTGGTGATTTTCACCCCTCTGTAGTTTTTGGTGACATCACGACACCAGACCAAAAGAGACTGGCTGGCATTTGGCTTCCCACCCAATACTGGACTGGGAATAGGGCTAGGCTGGACGAAAAAAAGAATAGTTAGAAAAAAATTAGACAACCTAGAAAATAAAGCATGAAGATAATTTATAAAATTAATTAAGGCTCTTTTTAATTTTTAATTAAAAAACTTTTTAATTTAATTAATTAAAATTAATTAAGGCTCCCCCCTGGACTGCCACCTTAACGTGGTGGGGGAGTTTGAGTACTCGGATGATCCTGGGAGCTAAGCTGTCTGGGGCTTCATGCCCCTGGTAGGGCCTCCCATGGCAGACAGGTCTCAGGTGACGAGTCAGACAAAGAGCAGTCCAGAAGACACCATGGACAACACTAATATGAAAACAGTGACGTCGCCCGGCATGGCGCAGCCGGGGCCCCACCCTGGAGCCAGGCCTGGGGTCGGGGCCCGTATGCGAGCGCCTGGTGGCCGGGCCTTAGCCCACGGGGCCCGGCCGGGCTCAGCCCGAAGGGATGACGTGGGCAGTCCCTCCTGTGGGCCCACCACCTGCAGAGGGGTCCGTGGTGAAGCGGTGCTGAGAGGACTGGGCGGCAGTCGAAGGCGGAGACCTCGGCGACCCAGTCCGCACACACAACATCTGGCTCTTGGGACGTGGAACGTCACCTCACTGGGGGGGAAGGAGCCCGAGCTTGTGGGGGAGGTTGAGCGATACCGACTAGAGATAGTCGGCCTCACCTCCACACACAGCTTGGGCTCTGGAACCCAACTCCTTGAGAGGGGTTGGACGCTCCACTTTTCTGGAGTTTCCCGCGGGAGAGGCGGCGAGCTGGGGTGGCCATTCTCATTGCCCCCCATCTCAGCCGCCACGTGTTGGAGTTCTCCCCGGTGAATGAGAGGGTCGCGTCCCTCCGCCTCCGGGTGGGGGACAAGTCTCTCATTGTTGTGACGGCCTACGGGCCTAACAGCAGTGTAGAGTACCCGGCCTTCTTGGAGTCCTTGGGAGGGGTACTGGACGGTGCACCGCCCGGGGACTCCGTTATTCTCCTGGGGGACTTCAACGCCCATGTGGGAAACGCTAGTGACACTTGGAGAGGGGTGATCGGGAAGAGCGGCCCCCCTGATCTGAACCCGAGCGGTGCTCAGTTGTTGGACTTCTGTGCCAGTCACGGTTTGTCCATCACGAACACCATGTTCGAGCACAAGGGTGTCCACCAGTGCACGTGGCACCAGGACACCCTAGGCCGGAGGTCGATGATCGACTTTGTTGTCGTATCATCTGACCTTCGACCGCGTGTCTCGGACACTCGGGTAAAGAGAGGGGCGGAGCTGTCAACCGATCATCACCTGGTCGTGAGTTGGATCCGCTGGCAGGGGAAGAAGCCGGTCAGACCTGGCAGACCCAAGCGTATAGTGAGGGTCTGCTGGGAACGTCTCGCTGAGCCCCCTGTCAGACGGACTTTCAACTCACACCTCCGGGAGAGTTTCTCCCAGGTCCCGGCGGAGGAGGGGGACATGGAGTCCGAGTGGACCATGTTCTCTGCCTCAATCGCCGATGCGGCGGCTCGTAGCTGTGGTCGCAAGGTCTCTGGTGCTGGTCCCGGCGGCAACCCCCGAACCCGGTGGTGGACACCGGCAGTAAGGGATGCTGTCAGGCTGAAGAAGGAGTCCTATCGAGCCATGATGGTTCGGGGGACTCCTGAGGCAGCTGTCCAGTACCGGCAGGCCAAGCGTGCCGCGGCCCGGGCTGTTGCAGAGGCAAAAACCCGGGACTGGGAGGAGTTCGGAGAGTCCATGGAGCATGACTATCGGTCGGCCTCGAAGAGATTCTGGCAAACCATCCGGCGCCTCAGGAGGGGGAAGCAGTTCTTTGCCAGCACCATGTACGGTGCGGGTGGAGAGCTGCTGACATCGACTGGGGATATTGTCGGGCGGTGGAAGGAATACTTTGAGGTTCTCCTCAATCCCCCCGTCACGTCCTCTGTTACAGAGGCAGAGGCTGAGGATGTTGGGGCGGGTACATCCATCTCCCTGGCTGAGGTCACCAAGGTGGTTGGTAGCCTCCATGGTGGCAAGGCTCCGGGTGTGGATGAGATCCGCCCTGATTATCTAAAGTCTCTGGATGTTGTAGGACTGTCTTGGCTGACACGTCTCTGCAACATCGCGTGGCGATCGGGGGCAGTGCCAATGGAGTGGCAGACCGGGGTGGTGGTCCCTCTCTACAAGAAGGGGGACCGGAGGGTATGTTCCAATTATCGTGGGATCACACTCCTCAGCCTCCCCGGTAAGGTCTACTCCAAGGTACTGGAGAGGAGGCTACGGCCGATGGTCGAATCTCGGATCCAGGAGGAGCAGTGTGGTTTTCGTCCCAGTGTTCTCCATCGGATACTCGAGGGTTCATGGGAGTTCGCCCAACCTGTCCACATGTGCTTTGTGGATTTGGAGAAGGCGTTCGACTGTGTTCCCCGGGGTGTCCTTTGGGGGGTTCTCCGGGAGTACGGGGTCGGGGGTCCTCTGCTGAGGGCCATCCGATCCCTGTATGACCAGAGCCAGAGCTGTGTTCGCATTGCCGGCAGTAAGTCAGACCTGTTCCCGGTGAATGTTGGCCTCCGACAGGGCTGCCCTTTGTCACCGGTTCTGTTCACTGTATTTATGGACAGAATATCTAGGCGCAGCCAGGGGTCGGAGGGGGTCCGGTTCGGAGACCACAGGATTTCATCTCTGCTGTTTGCGGACGATGTTGTCCTGTTGGCTCCAACGAACCAGGACCTGCAGCATGCACTGGGACGGTTTGCAGCCGAGTGTGAAGCGGCTGGGATGAGAATCAGCACCTCCAAATCCGAGGCCATGGTGCTCGACCGGAAAAAGGTGCCTTGCCCTCTGCAGGTGGGTGGAGAGGTCCTTCCTCAAGTGGAGGGGTTCAAGTATCTCGGGGTCTTGTTCACGAGTGAGGGAAGAATGGAGCGTGAGATTGACAGGCGGATCGGTGCAGCGTGCGCAGTTATGCGGTCGCTGTATCGGACCGTTGTGGTGAAGAGGGAGCTGAGCCGAAAGGCAAAGCTCTCGATTTACCGGTCAATCTTCGTTCCCTCCCTCATCTATGGTCATGAGCTTTGGGTAATGACCGAAAGAACGAGATCGCGGATACAAGCGGTCGAAATGAGCTTCCTCCGCAGAGTGGCTGGGCGCTCCCTTAGAGATAGGGTGAGGAGCTCAGTCACACGGGAGGAGCTCGGAGTAGAACCGCTGCTTCTCCACGTCGAGAGGAACCAGTTGAGGTGGCTCGGGCATCTGTTCCGGATGCCTCCTGGACGCCTCCCTGGGGGAGGTGTTCCGGGCACGTCCCACCGGGAGGAGGCCCCGCGGAAGACCCAGGACACGCTGGAGGGACTATATCTCTCAGCTGGCCTGGGAACGCCTTGGGGTCCCCCCGGACGAGCTGGAGGAAGTGTGTGTGGATAGGGAAGTCTGGGCGTCTCTGCTTAGACTGCTGCCCCCGCGACCCGGCAACGGATAAAGCGGAAGAAAATGGATGGATGGATGGATAATTAAGGGTTAATGACATAGCAGTATAGAGGTATATGGACAGCCATGTAATCCTTTATTATTTATCTCACCCTTCCCTATTCCTTATCAGTATTAAAGAGAGTTCACTATTAGAAATCTTTCCTCTAACTGGCTGCAAATCCTACAAATCCTTAGTGGCGTGTAGAAAGTGGTCTTCCACTAACAAGCTTGAGATCCACACTGCCCTCATTATTCACAAGGCAATAGACTAATCTGGTAATGGAGACGGCGATAGAGGATAATTCTCTCAGATCATTTGAATGTTGAGTGGAAAATACAATGAATTGGATTAATTAAGGAGCAGTTTAAGAAAAGTATTTCAACTGTTATAATGGTGATACATATCATAAATCCATTTACTATGAAAATAAAAGCAAAACCGCATTTCAAATGTAGACTTTAATTAAAAGGGTCAATAAATGATTTAAAGCCATGAAACTTGAAATAAACTTGTTCATGTTTGCTTTCACCTTCATGAAAATAGAATCAAATACAGGAAAATTCCCCAAAGAAAACTAAAAATGATTTGAAACTGGCAGCAAAAACAAGGCAAGCAGCAGCCCCCTCTGTTGGGGATTGTGAGATACTACAATTGGTGGTCAAGTGATGGTTAAAGAAAGGAGCTGCAGTCATTTTGGATATTCAAGATGAATATTTCGTTTCAATAATAAAAAATAAGATAAATAAATAAAATATTTAGTAGTCATCAAAACGCCAGTGAACAAGCAAAACAACATTTCAATTATTATTAATTTCAATAACATATTTAAATCACACCATAACAAAGACAAGCACAATTCATTGCATTAGGCAACAAACATATTGTATAATTGTTGTAGTTCAATCTCAATGTATGATCCTCACTCTTGCTAAAATGCCACCAGAGCAAAGACATGAAAGAAACTGGAGGCCATCTTTAATGGCAACTTCTAACCTTTGTTAGAGTGTGTGTTTTTGTGAGTAGTGGAGGCCCCTACGGCCACCTCAGCTTTGGCAGGCGGCAATGAGTGCCTGAGGGGCGGACATTTGACATTTCCGGCTCATCTCTTAAAGAGGGCCTTAACCTTTACCTATACAGCTTCTCTAGACACATTTTGAGAAACCTTGACACAGACAATATTCCAAACTAGAAAATAAATTGACAGATAGCTCCAACAAGACAATAGCAATGACTTCACAAGTACTTTTTAAAATGTCGCTCCACACTTGAATTACTTTGATGTAGTTAGACATGTTTTGTATTTATAAAACATCAACCACCAAACAATGCTAAATTATACTGAGAGAAAAGCTGAGCCTTAAAATTATGTGTAAGAATATAGTCAACACATGATTGTCTAGACTAATATAAAAAGAGGAAGTGAGCAAGGTTCCCCTCAACATTATAGAATGTAGAGTGGTCTTCCTTCAGGCCTCTGCTTTATACTTTTTAAAGTGACGGTTGAAAGTAGTTGTCTAATTTGAGCGCTCTAATTACATGGGATTAGAGACCAGGTGCT